GAGAGCAGAGGTGGGTGGTGTTTGGGCTGGTGATGCAGCAGGGGGCGAGAATGGAGCATAAAACTCGTGTCTGCCTGTAGGTAGGATATTTCTGGTCAGATAATGGATTGTATTTTTTGTTTGCTGCCTTCCTCTTTCTCTGCTAGCAATGGGTTGTTCTCTTCATGGTAGGCCAAAAGCAAGCCAGAAGTGAGAGTTTCTGTGGGTGGTGAACACATTCAAGAGCTCAGTATGACAGTGTAGGTTAAGAATAGAATTTATCTGCGTGTCCAATTCTGCCCTCTGGCAGGTGACACAGTGCTGTGTACTAGGAATGTCAGCAAGGACTGCAAGAGCACGTCTGTCTGCTCTCATTTCACATCACAGGAAGGTTTAATTCTACTTTCCAGAGTCAGCAGGGCCAACAACCCAGCATAAGAAATCATGTTCAGAGTGTGTTACTTTTCTCTTTGTCTTTTCTAAGCTTCAAACATAATCTTTAAGGGCAGTTTGGGAAGCCTCTTTTCTTTTATGGATCGAGGTGATTTAAGTGGAGGGTATGGCAGCAATCTGTTTTAGACCGGACTTTGAGGTCACACCTTTGGCTCTGTGCATGCATTTGGCATCCACCCTACTGGAGCACATCTGTTGCTTTTGGAGTCAAAGCGGCAACCTAGAAGTGGCAGCCTCATATCCTAACAATTTTATGGCAATTTCTCCATGTTTCCCTATCCCCAAATGGAAGGAACCTGGTCTTCCAGAAAGCAGGATTGAATCTCACACAGTATCTTTGGTTTTGAGACAGCTATGTAAAAGCAGCCTTCTGGTTGTGGATAGCTCTGTAAGCCAGCAGGCTGGCATGCAGCACCAGCAGCCAAAGCTAGCTAATTGCAGATCACGTACGGGAAAAAGATAACAAGAATAACTAACCAGCTGAACAGCAGCTGTGGTAGATCTCCCACTGCTGAGGTTTCTAAATCTAAAGCAGATTATCTTTCTACGGGAATGGCTGTAGTTCCACTTCAAGTCTTTGAAAGATTCCTCTAATACTGTGGCTTGTATTATGTGATCCTTCTGCCTGGCTGTACACAAGTTATTTTTAGGCTTTGAATAAGAAACTCCTTTGCACGCTCTGCCAACAAGAGCTGTCTCTTGTCACAGATGGCACCTTCCTGCTGTGCATTGCCCGCTCAGCTTTAGAGTGGGCCTGACTGCCTGTGCAGAAATTCTCAAAAACTGATGCTTCTTATTAAGGTATGGTAAACAGGTGAAAGAAAATTGCCCCCTTCTAACAAATCTCAAAGCTGAAGCACCATCTGCTGATCCCATTAGCTCAGTGCAGGTCATTTTGAGCTCAGGGATTTACCAGTCTTTTGCCGCTGCTCAGAGCAGCTCATTCAGGGATGCCAGCCATCTTGGAGATCCTGGAGGAAATACATTGTACAGAGGTGCTTAAGCAGCTGCATTCCTCTAAAGATTTAGCTGGAGTTTGATATATCACTTTGTAAGTAAATCCCTGAAGAGCAAGAAACCAATTGCACTGTTAAAAGCCTTGCATTATAAACCAGAAGGAGTGAGGGAGCTGTACCTGCAGAGGTTAAGCTTTGCACAAGAATTTAAATGAACTCATTAAACTCAACTTACAAATTAGCTCATTAAAATGCAATGCTGCAGATCCAGAAGTTGGTTGATCTGGCGTCCCACTTCTGTGAGGAAGTGATTTAAGAAACAGAGAACAAAATGATAGCGTTAAAACTCCTTTTTTTCTTTCCAGTCCCATAAACCTCATTGGGATCTCCCTCTTCCTTGAACTCTTTATCAATGGCACTTTCAGTTTACTGAATGAAGCTATTTTTGTTCCAGTGCTGCAATTGCTGTGTAATACCTCTAGCCTTGTGTCTGTATGCACTTGTGGCCTCCCATGTGCATAGCAGCTCTGTAATACAGACCTTGGCACGCTGGGTCACAGCAAAGATCATCTTCACTTAGCTTGATAGCAAGAACCTACCTGCTGGTGTGTTTTATCTCTGGGTTGTTACATTGCACATACTCCCCTTACTCTGCCATTGAAATAATGGTGTTGTTTAGTTGGAGGGTGTGAAAATATCCAAATGAGTTCAGTTTTATAGACCTGTTCAGAATATCTTTTATGTAACTACAGAAGTCAGTAAAACCAGCCTTACAGCTCTTCATTGGTTCTTACAAATCACAGAAGCATACTGTAGGCAATACAGAAAATAAAAACATAAGAATTTACATTCCAGCTACATACTCTGCAATAATATATACGTTTGTGTGTGTGCATATATGCAGAGAATTTCTAAATATAAAAACAATTCATTGAGAAATTTTAAGCTAACCACACTGAACCCCCTCTCCACAAAATTGTGTAGGGAAATGAGCATTCAAAACCACCTCAGATTACTTTTCAGTATTCTGGAATCAGAATAAATGATCCAAACTCCCATGTCAAAGGTTTTAGAGACCAGATGTGTACAAAGGGCACCATCTGAAACGTGGTTCTGTGTTTAGAGGAATTGGTTTCAGTCTTCAAAAGATACAGTGACTGGCTGTCCATTATGTTGGCACAGGCATTACCTGGAGCAGTGTGATGGATCTTTTTATAGATGCTGTGGGGATGTTGAGTTGGCTCATGTCACAGGTTGGCATCAAACTGGAACGAACTGTGCTGCTTCATGAGTATATCCAGTGCCCAGCTCTACTTCTGCTTGTGAAAATTGTCCCTTTGCCATCAATAGGAAGGACATGTGGGTGTGAAAGTTGTGTATATAAAGCTAGAGTGCAACCCTTGTTCTGCTGGGCAAAATGGTGAGTCTTTTAGCCTTGAAGCATCCCACAATGAAATCACACCTTCCCTCTTGAATACAAAGCCTGCAAGCCTGTGTAATGCTTGTTCCTTCCTGTTCTATGTTTGGCCAACAGGCAGTTGTCTTGCTTGACCTAAGGAAGTGAAAAGCTTAGCTTAAAAAAAAAAAAAAAAAAAAAGACATTGGAATACTTTATTGTAAACATAAAATGTGCCTACTTGTGCTTTTATGTTGACTTTACTTGATGAAAGCAGAAGTTTGCTGAATCCCATTTTCCCTCAAGCATGAGTTATGTTGGAGTGGGTGGAATTGTACTCATGTGGAAGTGCATCAAATCCATGTGGAAACTTAGCCTACCATTCATCCACAACTAAATAGTACTGCACAATCAATCTGCTTGGTGAGTGATTTGATGAGATGCTGATCTGGGTGAGGCTGCGGAGGTGGAGGGGGAAACCTGAATAACAGCAGCTTTCTGAAAGGGACACTTTCACAGTGCCCCTTCCCTTTGGTGTTGCAAAAAAAAAAAAACCCACAGCAATCAGCTGATTATGCAAACTTGGCATTACCCTCAATGTTGATTTCCTTTTTCTTAGTGAAATGAGGTGGTGGTTGGAGACTTTACTGTAAGCCTTATGCAAAACCTAAAACCCCTCGATATCATTACTGGCAGCTTGAGCGCTACTTGCAGAGTATTACACACTGTTGGCATTAAAGGCTAAACAGGGAATTCTGAAGTTCCTCTTCCTACAAATCATCCAGTTTACAAGAGCAGTATTGGCTCATAGAAGGGCTTATGTGCACCAAAGTTGATCCATGTTTTCCCATTTGTACTAACTGGTCTTTTAAAAGATGCTTTTTGGTCCCACAAATAAAACCTAATTGATGACATTTTTCAAAGCAAAGTGGAATGCTGAGCAGTGCCTTTTACTTAACTGCAAGGAAATTAGGCTATCCCACCCATGTCCTTGTGTCTGGTCTTGCTGAGGTAGTCTTCTTTGTGTCATCTCAATTGCTTGCTTTTAAGTGAGCTTTTGCAAATGGCTGTCCATTCTCTATATGGGTGACTTGGATCTCCAAAATCTAAATAATTATTCTGATAAAGAGCAAGAGCTTGAAGGAACAGAAAGTAAAAGGTAGCAAAGGAAAGTAGGGCAGAATTCTTGCCCTGGACCTCATCCAAAGTGTGTGTGAAGTCAGAAGAAAAGCATTTGATACATGCTTTTGTGGTAGTAAGTGGCTTTCTAAGGTGCAAGGCAGTGCAGGATGGTGCCCCACATGCACAATTCCTCTATTCTCATGCTGTGATCAAGACTCACCAGTCTCTTTGCAAGACAGTTCAAAGATCTTATCACTGCTGGTGAAGCCAGTAGTTTTAGAGGTGCTGTTTTGTTATCTAAGCACACATGTTCAGGTGACAATGATTTCTAAGAGCTTCAAACTATTATATGATGTAGGGCTTTGGTTTTCTTTGTGAAATGGCACATTTTTCTTTTTCACTCTATTTCCACCAAATACTGCCTGAAATGGATTTAGTAAAACAGAGAACATGCAGCAGCAGTAGTTGTTGTCTCAGAGACAGCAGTGCAGACAGGAAGTGTGGGTGTTAGGGACATTCCTCTCTTCAAAAGCTTTCACTCTGATAGCAAAGATGGTTTATTTCAGCAGCCTATAAATGTGCACCAGGTAGAGCCTACAGGTCCAGATCTGCTGTCTGTATTTGAGAAAGCAGATACTTGGATTTGCTGTCAGGTTTGGATACCTTTACTAAAATGTGCAGACACTACATAAGAGAGATATTGTTCTGCTTATGTGGTTACTTCATTAAAGAGACCAAAGCCAGGGACAAGTTGTGTTTCTAAAGCTCACTGCTTAGGTTGATCCAGATGCTCAAGAAGCAGGATGTCTTTGCCATCAAAAAGCCCAGAAAATCTGTGCTTCTTCATATTTAAAAAAAAAAAAAAAAGAACAAAAACATTGACATTCATGAGAGTAGATAATAAGGAAGCAACAGAGAAGCACTGCTGTAGATCTGCCAACTAGCATCCCGTGACAGAATCCATCACTTCTCCCTGTATATTGGTGTTGCTAGCTCAGCTTTCACAGTGATTTTTAAGGCAATATTTGTCCTAGCAAACCAGCAATATAATTCAAATACCACTGCCTAAACTACTTTCATAGGAGCCCATTTTCTAAAGTCACCAGATTTTATTATTTACCCACAATATAATTATACTAAAACATACATACATTTAAGAAAAAGGAACACCTTTATAGAAATGTTGATAGTGCTTTGAAATCCTCTGTCACCCCTGAGGTTCCATCAGACGTTGCTAGAGGTCTCCCCACTCGAATACTCCCCTGTTGCACTGGGCAGGACAAACTTGACGTACCTCCCCTTCTCCCAGCCTCTTCTGATTCGCACGAGTCTCTGCTGAATGCAAGGCAAACTGAAGGCAACTTTTGCTAGGATCACAGTACATGGGACAAGCAGCGTGAGAGTGTAGGTGGGAGGCAGGTAGAACTTGTATTGGTTCTCATCAAAGGCCCTTGACCAGCCATATGTGAGGGTGTGCAGGGTGCTGATGACCAAGGCAATAAATCCCAGCGTAGACTAAAAGGAAGAGAAACACAAAGCAGTCAGCAGACCTCATGCCTGTTTTCCCCTGTAAGAATATGCAGCACAAAGAAAGCAGTGAATATTCCTGTGCCTCTCTGATAGAATAAAATGCAACTGCAAACCGGGTGTCACCTACAGGAAAACTGCAGTGTGCCAAGATGAGGATATACAATGGACTAAGTCCTTGGAATGGGGAGTCAGGAGCCCTTTGTCCATTGAGGGAGGCAGCAAGGATGTAGCCTTGCTCTGCAGTCCAGAACGTGCCCCATATTCAGCTGAGACTGTGGCTCCCAAGCATCCATAGAGACAACATTTTGCCTGAATATTCCAAGAATGCTGAAGATTGTTTTCAAGGAGGATTTTAAACTACAGTCTCCTTGCTGGTGGTTTCCTACCTGCCTCAGAGGTTGGGTCTCTGAGCTCATCACAGGCACAATCCCTCCTCAAGGGCCACCAGCTGTATTTTCAATGAAAAGTATGGGTGTAGTACATGATCATCCATATTGACAACTGGACAACTACTTCCTTCAGAACATCTCTTCTTGGTTTTGATGGCTGACAAACCATTTTAAAACCCAGATAACTTTTTAATGTGTACTGTATCATTAACAACAAGCTAGATCAAGGCTCCTCTACTCTTCAGAGTGAATTACTGAAACATCTGAGAGGACTGAGCAGACAAGGAAAGATCTCAAAAGTATGCCCCATATCTATGCACTTCACTTTTACAGCTCCTCTCCAGCCATCACGAGGGTGTCTGTAAGCCCTGCCAAGTTAGAGAGCTCTTGTCTCTGAGTTGCACCAGCACCACTCAAGGTCATTCCCAGAGCCACCAACAGCCCCCTCAGCTGAAGCTCACATCCACCTGAAAGCCATAACTGATTCCTCAGCCCAAAGCAAGCCCAAATGGGGTCAAAATTTACTTATCTTGGCAAATGAAGGTGTTTGCTGGGATACACCATGCAGCTGAAGGAGATAATGCTCTTAACAGTGGGCACCAACCCATGGCTCACCCATAATTTATCAAATCTTAGCTCCCCTCCAACAGGCAGAACATCCCTAGATGGGAGGAGGCCAGAGGTGCCAGTAGGAGGCTGATCTGCAGAGCACAGCTGTAAGGCAGGGCTGGGGAGAAGGTGAGGAGTGATGGCTGAGGGCAGCAGGTGCTTTTGGCAGTGGGTGCAAGGTGCCTTCAGGTACAGTCCACATGGGGCTCCATGGATGGCAGAGGTGTCAGAGCTAGAGATAATTAGTTTGTTCCTCTACAGTTCCTCTTTCAACTGCTGCTGGCACCAGGGAAAAGCAGAAGTGGAAATTAGTAGGACAAAAGACGACCGAACATCAGAGCAGTGCAGTGACCCACCTTTGTGCACAGCAGCAGGGCACGCAGAACAAAGAGCTAATTAGCAATAAATGTGCAGGTGAGCAGATGGCAGCTGGACACAGTGCTGGCAGCTCCACAGAGCAGAGCAGTGACACAAACCAGGGCTCCCTGTGGTCAGCAGGGCTTTTACACTGTCACAGCATGGGGAATGCAGGGCTGCTGCCAAGATAAGGTGGTAAAACCCCCTGAGAGATGGCTCTATGAAGATGGGATCTTTCTAAGGCAGGTTTAGCTTGCACTGCCCATTCTGGATTGATTTTTCTCTCTCCCACCTCTCTTCAGTGTCCAGGAGATGTGCTGCAATGCATCAGTGAAGGTGACTCTGTCGTTTATAAATGCCTGTGCAGCATCCAAGGCAAAAGGCACCTTCCTAACACATTCAGGTTTCTGACTTCTGCTGCCATTAGTCCTGTAGAGTTGTTAACTGTGTGGAAGCTGGCTCTCACTTCATCATCAGGAGGGCTACAGGCACCTGATGACAGATTCTTTGCATCCTGCAGTATGTGAGCTAAGAAGGAAATCAGGTCAACCCAACCTTCAAATTCCAAGAGAATTTTTCAGGGTGGAGAGATAAAAGGAATCATACGCATTTTCACTTCTCCACCAATTAGATTTGATTTGTAAGTCACTAGGGAACATTAAGAATCTCCCTTGTAAGTTGAATTGCATCTGAATTGTTCCTGTTATCTAGTGCCTAGATCCTGTATATTTTCTATTAGTCAAAACTGGATATGGAGGGAAACTGTATATTCAACCCAGCTGTATTTGCTAGCTGAAAATCATCTATGTTCTAAATCCTTAGCAAAAACCCAAGTGTTATTTTTGGCCTGTTAAGCAACAGATGTGTATTTTAAGATAATGGCAGTACCCCATGGTGCTGAGAGGCACCCACAGTGCTGTTGGAAAATGCGAGGCATGGGAAACTCAAGGTAAGGAGTGGATCAGAGTGGTTCCTGGCTTTTTGCCCTCACTCAAATGTGAGTGCAACCCCTCTCAAACACAGCAGCTACCTCAACAGAAATGGCAGCAAATGGCTGCAGCTTTGGGGAGATACTCAGCAGGGACTGCTGTGCTTTGTATTTTCCAGATCTTTCCTTTTTCACAACTAGCTACAGTGCCTCTCATGCACCGTAGTCGGTTCAAGTGTCAGACATCCCCAGGGCTTGAGAGTACAGCCTTGTTCTTCACCCCTTGTATTTACATTACAGTGTCACTGTGCATTAATTTAGGGAGAGTTGAGTTGCTGTATGTGAATGTTACCCTCTAGTACCTGGGAACAGCAGATATATCTGCTACTCATTTCCTCAAGTTGGCATCAACAACTTATTGAAGAAACTCCTCTAAAACATTCCTCATTAAAAAACAAGCAATGCCCGGCCTGGAAGCTAACATGACAAAAGCCTCTAATCCTCTCCTCGGGCACATTGCCACTGTCATCAGCAGGGTGTGCTACAATGCCTCTCCCTACATCCACAGAAATAGGTAGGAGTGATTTTTCCATGCTCTAAGCCAGCCAGTGACTGCCTGGGGCAGCCAGGAGCTATTTTGGAGCAGAGCATCACGTACCAGTGCCAGAGTTGACATATCATTGGAAAGACCCAGGGAAAGATGGCAAAGGGCAGAAGAGACAGTTGTGGAATGTGTGCTGGTAGAAGATACCATACATGTTGCATAACACAACAGCAGCACCCACCAGAGAGCTGTCTAGGGAGACAGAGGGAGATGCAGGGAGTTTCAGAGCCACATTCCAGGCTATTAGGAATTATTTCCCTTCATCTCAGACTCCTGGTATGAAATGCCTAAGCCAGGACGGGAGTTTATCCAATGTCCCAGTGGCTGCAGTGCACCCCTGAGACGTGGTGCTGAGAATTAATTTGCTACTGCTGTCTGTTAAGAAAGAGATTTGAAGCCAGATCTCCCTTCTCTCCAAGGGACAGTCTCTTGAGGTCAGGCTCTCCAGGTGAGGCTTCTTTATGCATTGTAAATAATTACTCAACAGCTCACTGCAAGAGAGGAGAAAAAAAGAGATGAACTAACTGACTTACTAGTTGGAGATCAGGGCACCTGTGGGAGAGCAGGCTTCAAACTCCTGCTCTAATGAATATTGAGTTATTTATGTGCAGCTGAAGAGCTTCAGCAAGGGAGAATGAATGATGGATATCCACATTTGCACACCCTAACTCTACATACTCCAACCTCTGAGTGTACAGAGGGGCTCTGCAGAGGAGGTATGGGGGGAGGGGGGAACCTGTGGGGTTTGTGCGTGCTGGGTGGCACTACAGCATTACTGGGAGCCTACTGCAAGCTAAGCTGCAGCCGTGTAGGAAGCACAGTTAATGATGGGTTTCAGGATTATGTGATATGACAGGTGAGTGTCCTTCAGGAAATTAGGTCTTAAAATGAGCTCTGAAGGTGCAGAGACTACTTGAAGTTTTCTCCTTGCTGTCCCTGTTAACCTGAAGCCTTGCTCTGTATGTATTACTGAGAGTGGCAGCCCTTGGGTTGAGGGTTTGGGATCCCTACATGGGTCACTATGGAGATCTGGCCTCATGAGCCTGGACATCCCTGCAAGTGGAAGGAGGACTCCCAAACCACTAGAAAACCTGAGAGAAAGAAAAGCTATCCAGACACTCCTAACCCATTTTTTAGAAGAAGATGTGCCCTTCACTGATCATTCAGATCTGCGTTCTGCACTGGCTGTCCCCATGGGTTATCCATCTGCAGCCTGCTGCAAACTCCCCACAGCATCTCCACAATACAGAAGGCATGGGGAAAAATGATAACAGATAACAAATTCTGAATTACTCAAAAAAAGGTGATGGATACAATCCAGTTAAAGAAAAAAAAACATTTGTTCACCTATCCCAAAGATCAGGGCTTACCAAATACTCCAAAATGAGAGATCTCCAGATAGAGATCCTTTCTGTGTGGCAGCCAGCCCTTAAATGAGGCTTAGGAAGGGGTGGAACCTGGTTCCATCCCTTCTGGTTGCACAGGTGGAAGCAATTCACCTGTGCTCCAAAGGCTGGCTGCGTCCCTTCACCAGTTGCTCCATCATTGGTTCAGGCCCTGACTTAGCAATTCACATACAGAAGGGAATAATCCTCTCTTCTCTAAATGTCTGCAAAGTGTTCTACCTTGTATGACTTCAGGAGTGAATGCAGCACTGCTCATGGGCACAATGTGAGGAGGAAAAATCCCAGAGAATTTTGCAGGGGGCATCACACAGGCAAACCCATGCTGGTTCTTCTTAGGATCTCTAGCTAGCACTGTTAAAAGTAGGGTGAGAAAGAAATTCCACCAGCACATTAAAGACTCATTCATGCAAAGCTTACCACTAAGCTCCACGTGGATGCACATGATGCATTACGTTTTCCTTTCCCTGAGACACAGCACCCACAGCAGAGCATGCGAGAGAGCATGACTCCCTGGAAGCACCACTGTCCCACTGCCCTGAGATGTCCTCTATGGTGAGTGGCAGAGTGCCTGTAACACTGGCTGACTGCAGAACCACTCTCGGGCATTGTCACATGTCAACCTTACCTGGATGAAACTGAATTCCCTCCAGTTGAGAGAGTTTGCAATGGATGGAAGTGAGGTGATGGCAAGTAACGACAGCAAGCCCAGGGCAATTATTCCAACAGAGATATAAATCTCCATCCTCCAGACTTCCTCCTCTACCCAGATATTCATCTTCTTCTCCATAGCCTGGCATGACAATGAAGTTTTGTTAAAATGGAGCACGTAGGAATAGAGGAACTGAATTTTATGTGTATTCACTTTCGTTTTGGAAGAAGATTTCCTGGATTAACACTGGTTCCTGCTGCCACTGGCCTCTGCCTGTGGCAGGTGCCACTGCCATTTTCCCAGTTGGATCAGACCTGCAGCCTGCTGGGAAGAACTGCTTGATGCTCACAGCTCCCATAGCCTGTAACCACAGCAGCAAGCCCCAGAGTTGCATTTGGAAAGATAATTGGAATGAGAAGTCAGTTTAAAGCCATGAAAACAAATACACATGCTTGAATATGCAGTAGTCTCCTAATAACCTTCATTTTAAGTGCATTTAATGGGGGAAATTGTTCATGCTAATGGAAAGGAAGATGGGTTTTATGCTTCATGGCAGAGAACAACATTTAGAACCATCTTCTTTAGCCCATTAAATGGGCTTAATTTACTAAACAAAGATGTTGCTAGAAAACAGGACGTAGAGGGGAAATGGACACAGGATGCTTGACCGAGATTAATGCGTGACTGTAGCAATTGAAAAGGGGCTGTGCCAGTCTGGAACTGAAATATCTGGTGGATGCTTTGAGCAGGCACTGCTTCCAAAACCAGCTGTCCTGCTCCCAGCTGCCTCCATGCCTCTGTGCTTGGACAAAGTGTTTGGGTGGCTACGGTGAGAAGCACTTGGGAAACATCCCAGCACAGAAAGCAGACAGGTTTGGGGGCAAGTCCTTGATCTGGTTCACCTCTGGGACGCACAGAGCTTCTTGCACCATCCCAGGAGGAGGCAGGGAAGAGCAGCAAGAACAGCAGGGACAAAAGATGGCAGAATCACATTCTTCCGTGGTGCTGCTGAGCTGAATTGCCTGAAGGTGTAGCAATCTCGGGATATAATCTCTGGATAAACATTGCTGAAAGCTTCGATAGGGCAGTAGGGTACTTTCCCATTTCCTTGTTCCCCTAGACTATGGCCTAGACTTCAGCATTGTTTTGTTACAGCACTAGAAGTGCGCTGTGATGAGGACGTACCTCCTACATAAACAAATCCTTTGGAAAGCAAATGCAAAGGCCATGAAGCCCTCTTACCCAACTTCCAAATGTGCCTGCAAGATCATCACAGGTACCACCCGGAGGGTGCCAACATTACCTGCTTGACGGCTGTCTCAATCAGCTGGTAGCGGTGGGAGCGGCGCATGGGCAGGCACAGGCTGTACACGGCGTGCAGAGCTGCACAGAAGAAGCTGAGGAGGCCGATCTGCTTTCTGTGTTGCAGCCACTGGTCAAGCCAGTCTGGAAAGCGCCTGTATTTGGTGCCGTAGTAGAGCTGCGAGCAGGCTGCCAGCACACCAGGGAGGTAGACCAGAGACAGCATGACATAGGCCACGCACGGCAGCGTAGTGTTGACCACCTCGACAGGGATCTTATAAAACTTATTCTTCTGCTCCCTGATGTAAGGGTGGATGACCTGCCGCACCAGGTTGTAAGTGAAAAAGCAAAGAAAAAGCCCCAGAGCCAAAAAGAGGGGGATTTTCCAGGCTGGCAAAAGGCGCAGGGGAATGTTCTCAATCTCGCAGGCTGAGGACATGCAGCCCATGTCCACAGGGGTGAAGCCCATTACCTGAGCAATTTCTGCCACAGTACGCTTGGCTTCTTGGCTATTGGAGCAGATTAGAACCTGCAATAAATGGAAAGATACGTATTGGGCAAAGAGATCACGTGGTGGGAACGAGCGTGGCAGGAGGGATGCTGCACTAAAGGAAGCCTACATTATCATGGATCATCATGTGTTTTGGCAGACTTTCTGATGGGGATTTACTGTGGTTGCCAAAGATCTCTATCCTGGACAGGTTTTCTTTCTTATGCATACCACCAGTTTGCTTTACTGGCTGTGTTTAGATAGAGAGACAATTAAATGATGTTTTTCACTTACACAGTGACTCCAGGGACTATAAGGTATGGAGTAAGCAGTGTATTTATTTTCTGATCAAAGAAATGTGCAAGCTGTGTGATGGTTTCTGGATGCCAAAACCAGTACTGATGCCCCTTCTCTGTGTACCTAAGGCCATTTACTGATGTCAGACCTCAGCTGCTGAAACAGTTGAGATGTGGCACATATCAGAAGAAAGCAGTATACCTGCTTATTGCCATCCCTGGCACCAGACTGCAGCGTCCACGCAGAAACCACATTAAAGCCCTTGACCACAGTGCAGGCTGGGAACAGAGAGGCCAAGTATTCAGCGTTGGATTCTTTGTGGTGGTTGATTTCAGTGTTGTTACTGACATCCACCAGGATCTTTCCCGCCAGCACATCAGCCAGGTCACAGAGCGTGGAGTAATGCTCCCTGAAAACCGCCACAAAAATGACATCCGTCTTCTTCACCGCCTCAGCCTGGAAGGTGACCTCTGCTGCAGAGGGGAAGAGGCAGGCTTTGCGCTTTGGGTTGCGGCTGCCCACCACCACCTTGAAGCCAGAGCACACCAGACGGATGGCCAATGAGCGCGCAAAGTCCCCGCTCCCCAGCACGCCGATGGTGCGTCCAGCTGCAGGCACCACGCTGGGATCACCCTCTGTGCTCCTGTGGCCAAGGAGGGGCTTGGCCATGTCTCCTCCAGGCATCCTGGCAGGAAAAACAAGGGGAAATGCAAGTTCATTGCAAAGCTCTTGCAGAAATTCAGACCACATCTGCAGTCATGAGGAAAATGCCACTTACGACGCATGAATAGAAGTGAATGAGGTTTTGGGAAAGAGGGAATTCCCTGATGCCTAACTGTAGATGTACAGCTCTGGGTCCTGTAGCCCAGACTCATCTACTAAACCCACCAGCATGAGTGCAGTAACATCCAGCCACCGTTGGAGGGGGACAAGACATCAACACAGAAATGGTTTTAGGGACAAGTTTCCCCAGTTTGGGCGATCAAACACCTGCACTCAGCCATCCTATGCTGTTCTTACTTGCATCTCATGCTGCAAAGCCAGATCAATTCTCACAGCTGCCAGCAATGGGAAGTCTTGGAGCCGTGTAGGACCAGGGCAGATCTTTTGAAAAGCCCTGGTGTCCGTGGGAATCTCTGGGCACACAACTGAGAGAGCTGGGGGTTTCTTTTAATTTGTGGAGGCAGCATCAAAGCAGGGAGTTTGAGGTGGAATTAAAGTGTCCTCCAAGTGGTAAATGAAGAGAGCTGTGGCCTTTGCCTGTTCCAATATTTGGGTCCATTTGTTTCATTTCTTCAATGAACAGGGAGAACTTCCTTGTGACATTAAAAAAAATAAAAAAGTATTAAAATATGATGGGATTTGCTCATGAATGATTTTGATGAGCTTTACAAACATGAATGAATTTTGCCCTGTAACACTCTGCTCTCCATAGCAGATTAGATATTGAGACCATGAAGAGGCTTTAAGCAAATCAACAAAATGAACAGCATCACACCAGCTGAGCCTGGAGGTCTGGAGGTCTGGAGAAGCTCAATCAGGGAACTGCCAGGCTGTTCCCATGATGTGTCACCTACAGCTCAAACCTGCTTAAAAAAATGCAGATGGCCAAAGGGACACCAGACTTTTAAAGTGCTCAGGAGTCACACCAGCACACCTGACTTCTGATTTGGGCACACTGGGAGAAATAGTAGTAAAGACCAGAATTAACAGACTCGTGATACATTTGCAAAAGAGACAGTCTTTTGCAGTACAGTCTTGCTTTATAGCTGGCACAGTTCTTTCAAAGTGAGGATGACCGCTCGGACAAGGTGACCTGGTCACTGGGCTTTGTTTATCATAGGCTTTTGGAAATGCTCTTTATCCAATGCTTTTCTGGGATTGGAGCAATAATGGTGCAAAAGGGAAGGGCACTTCTGCATGAATAGTTTACCAGTGAGAAACAAAGGGTAAGAATAAGTAATTTTCATAATGGGAATGGGCTGTCATGGGGTTTCCCCACATATCTGTGTTTTTCCAACATGCTCATAAAGGATTTGGGAAAGACAAAGAGAAGATCAAGCTTGGGTGTGATAACTGTTTAGGACAGCCAATCTTTATTGCAAGCAATTTGCAATCCTCATGCAAAGTGCCTGAGCACCAAAACTCACTACTGGCACATGCCAAGGGCTGCGTATGGGCATAAGTGCTATGAGTACACTTTAATGAGCTGTAACTCATATCATGCAGCTTCCTCTCATGGGCTTGGTAAGAGAGAATTACTTAGATTTCACCCTGAAGGTTTCTGCTTCTGCTCCAGATCTGTGGAAGGGCTTGTGTGCACAAAGGCTGACTTTGTTCTGCACCTGTGTCAATGGTCTAGTTCAAGGCTACTACCCGTGCACACACCCCTGCAGTAAGTATAGGCCAAACAGATCTCAGTCGCTGCTAAACAAAGTGAGTATAGCACTATAAACACATACATTGAACACAGAACAGAAGCACACAGGTGAGGTTGGAGATGAGATCACTTGGAATTTCCTGAAGTGAGCAGCAAACCCAGAGGTGGAGCTCAGGTCCATGCCAAGCCTTGTGTCCTCATCCCAGCCAGGCTGAAGAGCCAGGCTGCAAAACCCTGCTGTAAATACTCCAGCTCTGTCTGAAGAGATGTTGGGTTTTTTTTTTTGGCCCCTGCTTATCACGTACTTTATCGAAAACTCGAAAACTCGTTTCTTTACTTTTAAGAAATGTCCTTGCTCCACCTAGGTGTATTCATGCCCACAATTTGTTATGGGGCCCACACTATTGTTTAGCTTAACCACCTCTCCTGCCTACGCAACCCTCTGCTTTTCAGCAACCTGCATGCATGAAATGTTGTCCTACAACAAAGACATGTCTCTGGCGCCTGGCCACTGGCACAGGAAGCAATGCTCAGGGTGACAGGACTTCATAGAATCGTGGAATCTTTTGCATTGGAAGAGACCCTTAAAGACCATCTGGTCCAGCCCTCCTGCAATAAGCAGGGACACCTACATTTCCATCAGGTGCTCAGAGCCCCAGCCAGCCTCAACTTGGGTACATCCAGGGCCAGGGCATCCACTTGTTCCCCATGGCCCCACCAGCCCCTCCAGGGGGCCATGCTACTGCCATGTCACCGTGAGGCAGAGCAGCCACCAGCACAGGGAAGGCTGCAGAGGCCAGACACAGCGTGAGCACTGCAGTCTTGGATAAACCTCATTTATTGATCTTCTCTGTCAAGGAAACTGTACCCCTGCTGAGTTACATCACATGAAGTTCAGAGCAGCAAGGAAGCTGCATTATGATTTAAAGCCCAGCACAATGGAAGTAAACTAGCTTCAATCCTAACCGGGCAGCAGTTCCATAATTAAATACCAAGTGCAATGTGAAGCTGCCCTACAGACTGATGGTTAATGACACCCTTATATCACTGCATGGGGATGCTGTGCCCACATCCAGAGTGTTGTGTGTGGTTCACCTATTGTATCTCAGTGGCTGTATTATTTGCAGTACAATAGCAGTGAGCAACATCAGGAGCTCCACTCCGCCTGGCGCCAAAACAGGACAGAAGGCAGAATGGGATCAGACAGACAAAAGCTGGGTGAACTGAAGCAGTCAAATCTCTGCTGCACAGGAGAGGGTGGGAGGGCTCTGCAGAAGAAAAGCAGGGATAACTCTACATGTTTTGCACCTGAGGCTTGGCAGGCTGTTAGCTTAGGCTGGGTGCCAGGCAAACACAGCTTTCAGAGTGCTTTCCAACAGGACGGCCGTTCTGGGCTGAGCTGCTGCAGGAGCCCCTCCAGGTGTGGCTGCACTCCCTGCACTGTCAATCTGCACTCAGATAATGCCCCACTGCATTATCTGGGAAGCTGGTGCCATCGTTATCCTCCTTCTACAGACAGGGGGACTGAGATACCAGCGATAACGGGGCTCCAGCAAGTTTGCCTGGGAAGACCCAGATATCCCTGACCACTTGTTTAACAACGAGACCATCTTTACAGGACCCTGTCGGTTATTCTGGGCAGGGGACTACAGCCTTGTGGTTCCTGTAACCCACAGTCAGCACTTGGCATGTAAACCCTGAACGAGGCTGCCCGTACTGAGGCAAGGCATGCAATCTGCTTCAGTTCTGGACCAAAAAAAAATAAATCAAGATCCATTTGCCTGCGTTAGTATTTAGGTTTATCAGATAAAATCACAGAATGGCCTGGGTTGAAAAGGACCACAATGATCATCTAGTTTCAGCCCCCCTGCTATGTGCAGGGTCTCCAACCACCAGACCAGGCTGCCCAGAACTTCATGCAGCCTGGCCTTGAATGCCTCCAGGGATGGAGCATCCACAACCTCCTTGGGCAACCTGTTCCAGTGCTTCACCATCCTCTGAGTGAAAAAATTTCTCCTTAATATCTAACCTAAACCTCTCCTGTCTTAGTTTAAAGCCATTCCCCTTTGTCCTATCACTAAAGACAAGTTGGTTTTGTAATAGCTCCAGTTAACAGAAGTTTCTTAAGTATATCTGAGTCAAACTGTGCTGCAGAACATGGCAGCAATCTCATAAGGAGCTCCTTGCCATGGTGCTGTGCAGCACAATGAAACTGGCTCCTGTTTGTCCAAAAACCTCATCTGTGAGATCAGCTCACATACAGACTTAGAAGGCAGCACCTTGGTTCGAGTAACCACTTCTGTGTCTTCCCCTGGGGTCAGGTTTTGGTTAGACTGACCACAACTGAGTCTTGAGTAGCTGCGGTGTATGTCCTTACAGAGCCACATCAGGGCTTCAGTTTCAGCGTTGGGAGTTATCTGAGATAGAAGGCAAGATTATCTGCATCTCCTGATGGGTACCAGGGTGGAATGAGGGGAATGTCCCACTGTCTGCTCCAAGACAGTTCCTGTATGCTACGGAGTATGGTGTCCCCCATATTCTAGGGATGGGGGTGATCTCTGCCCCCAGGCAATCTATCTGCATGCAGGGACCTTCGCACTTCCCTTGCTGACCATGATGCTGAAGTCCTGCAGCTCCTGTCTGCAGAGCCTGGTGCGCTCCATGGAGTTGATGCACCAAGAAGTTGTGGCTGGAGGGATGCATTCAGCACCTGAAGTCTCTGTTCAGGTCTTGCTGTGCATAGAAATATTCATGTCTTGGCTACAGTTGTTTTGTTTCCAGGGGAAATAAAGCACATAAGCCTCTGCTGTACCCAGAGAGGCCCTCCAAAAAGCACAGCCGGTACCACGTACCTGCTGAGATTGGCACAGATTTAAGTAAGAAAAGGGCTTATCCAAAGCCAGTCAATCTCAGCTCTGCTCACACTTCTGGAGTTCTCCCAGTCTCGTCCAGGCTGACTGCAAATAACACGTCTGCCCTGTGGATAGCTCACAGATGAGGGAAGAAAGGGAAAACAGGCTTGCTACCTGTTTCCATTTTTCTCCTTCCAAAGCAGACAGAGCTAGCTTCCCAGCAGTGCAAACCAGGAACCAGCAAAAACAATAAACCAACCGTCTGTATGGCTTCAGCCAAAACAGCAATGTCGCAAACCTCCCCCAGGATGCCAGCCAGGCTGTGAGAATGAGGAAATGCCAACAGCAGAGCCCTGAGGCAGCTCCAGGTTCCCCGACTGCTGTGGCAACACTGCTGGGTGCTGAGGCTGTCTGTGGCCACATGGTGGGAACAGAGCTGCTGAGGGGTCCCAGTGCTGCAGCATGCACCCACCATCGCACCGTGCTTCACCCTCATCACTCTCCCTGTTCCTACCTCAAAGCACGCTGTTTACTTTTGCACAACCACACAGCACTGTTGACTTGCTGTGCTGTGCCCCTAACCCCATCCCTGTGCTGCCTGGCCGGTCCCTCACCCGCTGCCCACGCGGTCACTCAGTCCAAACATGGGACACAGCGCATGTTCTGCTCTTTCTGACCTGCCCTCCAATTTGTCCTCCTCTTTAATAAGCCCCTCTCTCAAACATTTCCCCTATGTCACCCACAAAGCAAGCACGTCCCTCCCTGCACCACTGCCTGCTGATGACAACGCAACTGCCAGCCCCCCCCCTCCCCCCGCTACATACCTACACACTCCCTCCAGTTTAATCATTGATTAATACTGAGGATGTTGGGTTTGGAAGCCAAAGGCACGTCCCTGACCACAGGATATTCTTCACCGTGACCAGAACTCAAAAACATGTTTCAAAACAGGGCAAAGCAGAGGTTTTCCCAGAATTTTCCATGCTCTGCTTTTCCCACACCAACTCAGACATTTTGGCCACAGTTTTCCTATAGAAATGCACCAGCCTATGGGCACCTGGTGAGGTTAAACAGGCAATACTGATGCTGGGCAGAAAAATCACCCATCCACAGTATTGGTTGGGGCTTGATCAAACTGGGAAACAAATTTTTGGTGTACCAAGAGACCATTCTGCTAGTGCCTGCCAAATTGATACAGTGTGGAGAGGCCTGACAGGGACCTGGATTGGGGCAGCACTTCATAAATTGGGAATCTGAGGTTTGGGAAGCCTAGAGGTCTCACCCTAAGGCATGGGGAGCACAAACCTGAAGCACCATGAGGTGTTGGTGGAGCAGTTCTGATGCTGACACAGCACACACAACTTTATCTGAGAGATGTGACTCTGAATAAGAAGTTTATTTCTCCAACTTGTCAACAAGAGACCACAACTTTAAGTGCTGTAGCGGAATCCTGCATGGCTTCTATTCCTTTCTTCTGGGATCTTTGCTTGCTGCTCTTACCATGCTAACAACTACCTCACGGTGACTCACTCACTTCTGAGCTCTCCCTTTCCTACAGCAGAGCAGCAGGGTGTGCTCTGAGCACAGCAGCCCCCCAGGGAGCTGCCAGACCCTGCTGTTAAAAAACCTCTTTCTTTCCAGAAAGGACGCAGAGGAATTGCACTGCCTGCACATGAAAATATTTGGGCTGGCTGCTGCTGCCTGTTAGAAGGGCCTCCAAGATCAGCACGCCCTATGGTTTTGCTTCTTGCAGCAACTCAGAGGATGCACAGGGCCGTGTGGGGCAGAGGGTAGCCCAGGGGATGGTTTGGGGTGGAGGGGAGAGAACACTTCCAGCATGAGGCCAGTGCCAGCTTGCTGCTATGGGAGCACAGCCTATCCTGTGCTATGGCAGGAGAAGCAAGTGGGGTCTCGCCTATCATCCCTTGGTACTTTTTCCTTAGGGACACTGAAGTGCTAACATCCTGCTGTGAATCATTGCTGCCTGTGCAGTTTCAGTAAGCTGTTTTACATCTGCATTTATTTTCACCCACTCTTTCAGGTGGGTGCTGAAGCCAAAAGGTAAGGAGGAAGAGGTGTTACTGACCTGGGAGGAGCTGAAGGAAAAGCAAGAGAAGAGGGCAAGCAGCTTCAAAGGGAAAGAAGCACGAAGGACGGTGCCTACAGAGATCATGCTGCCTTGTGAGTGCAGCCTTTGCTTTGCCTGAACACATTGTGTGCCCTTCAGGCACATCCGCACTATGCCACGGACACACCTCTCTACCGAGCAGCTGCAATGGGCACAGAGGTATCTGGGGAGGAAACACCTCTGGTTAAGGCAGCAGCACACAACAAATGCCTGGTGAGTTCTGATGCATGAGAGAAACCTGGTCCAGGCATGCATGGTGTGCACAGGGCCCCAGCTGCCTCCCATCTGGTCAATAAGGTGCTCATTGATGCTGCCTCACTCAAGCAGGTACCTGTTAGTGATGGCCAGCGGTTGGTATCAGCACACTGCTGCGGATGCATTATCTACAGACCCATATTGGCAGACCATGGTCTGTGGGGAACTCATAGGACATTTTTGCAAAGGCTGCAGAGGTGATTGTCTCTCTCAACTCTACCACATCTGGAGTACTGCGTCCAGATCTGGGGCCTCCAATACAAGAAAGCCAGGGAGCTGTTGGAGAGGGTCCAGAGGAGAGCCACAAAGATGATCAGGGGGCTGGAGCACCTCCTCTATGAAGACAGGCTCAGGGAGCTGGGTTTGTTCAGCCTGGAGAAAAGAAGGCTGGAGGCTGACCTTACTGCAGCTTTCAGTACCTAAAGGGAGCCTATAAACAGGAGGCGAGTCAACTCTTTACAGGGGTAGACAGTAGCAAGACAAGGGGAAATGGTTTTAAGTGGAAGGAAGGAATATTTAGGGGTGGATATCAAGGATAAGTTCTTCACTATGAAAGTGGTGAGGTTCTGGAACAGGCTGCCCAGATAGGTTGTGGATGCCCTGTCCCTGGAGGTGTTTAAGGCCAGGTGGCATGGGGCCCTGAGCAGCCTGGTCTAGTATTAAATTTGGAGGTTGGAGGCCCTGCATGTGGCAGGGGGTTGGAGATTCATGATCCTTGAGGTCCTTTCCAACCCAAGCCATTCTGTGATTCTGTGAACTAAATTGAAATGCAAGTGTTAGCAAATCCAGGCTTCAGACTTACTGGAAGTCTGAGCACCTGGAAAAAGATGGAAGGAGCTGAGGAATTCCTGAAACCTTAGCCAAATTTTTAAAAATCTTCCACTGATTTGGGCTCTGGAGTACCCAAGGGCTTTTAAGATGGGATGTTGGCTCCCACATCACTGATTTCCAACCATTTCATCCATTCAGATAAGCTATATTCCACTTAGATGAAGATGGGAAGCACCCTGCAGTTCACTGCAGGGGAAATGACCCTATGGAGAAGCAGTAACTTAAAGTTTGGAAATCTGTCCTCTGCTGTGACACTGCCAGGAAACCTGATTGTAATCAGCGACGGTAAACATCTGGATAACAAATTGGTGGGCTTCAATTCCATAATGTAACATCTCACAGCCATCCCTCACACGTCAGAGCTCTTCCACTGCCCCACTTCTTCCACCACCGGAAAAAATGTGTTTCCCCTGAATCTAAAGCTGCTTTCATTGATGGGTGTAGTGCTGCAAGGTCGCAGCCAAAGCAGAGCTCCTAATAATAAAAAGCAAACCAAACAAAAACAGAAGTAAAAAGCAAAGCAAACACAAATTATGCTTTCAAGAAGCATGTTTTCCTAGGGCTTGCTGCGTTTTCTTTTTAAACAAAGACTTGTTGAGTCACCAACATTTTCAGCTCCACAATTATGGAGGAAATCGAATCCGTGCACTGAGTATTGGATCCTACATTACTGTACATTTGTTTTATAGCAAATGGGATTTTAAAAGAGGAGAAAATGTAAGGCTGATTTAAAATCTAAAGTATTTTAAGTAGCTCAATCTTGTTAGCCCTCCATCTCCTTAGCCTGCAGGAACACTGATACCGGAGGAGCGACGTTCCCCTCTCGCTGTCTCTGGTTTCTCTCCCCGGGATGCACTTTCCCAATGCACCACTTCTACCCGCAGCGCTGGGCTGGTGCTGTGGGGCTCCCGGTGCTCTGCCCGCAGCTGTCCCCGACGGGCTCAGTACGGGGACAGCCCGAGCCGGACCATCCTGCCAATGGGGCATCCCTGCTCCAAAGTCACCCCTCCAACTCCGTCACAGCTGTCACGGTGCGGCACAGCGACACGGAGCAGATGGAGCGCAGCGCATCCGACCCTATTTCCTTACAGGAACCCCCATGGGCACTGAAGCAGCAGAAGCCTCCCGCTGCTCGCCCCTGCGGGCCCGCGTGGCTCCGGCTCTTTTAATACCTCACAGCCCGATTTCTCCCGGGCCGGAAGAAGTCATTCATCTCCACGAAGCGTTTGCAAAGCTCCCGCTCTGGCAGCCACCAGCAGCCCCGTTCCCCTCCCATCCACGCCTGTGCGCGCACAGCCCCCGGCCCCGCACCGCCCCGCACCGCACCGCCCCGCCACGCCGCCAGCCCGGCCCCACCGCCCCGACCCGGCGCCCGCCTCCGGCACCGACAGCGGCGGAGGCCCCGCGGACCCCGGGCCGCTCCCTCCCTCCGCCGAGCTCAGCCGCACGCAGGGACCCGCAGCCGCAGCCCCTCGGCCGCACTCACCTCTGCGCCGGGCGGGCAGCGAGAGGGCGAGCGGAGCGGCCGCTGGCGGTGAGCGAGGCGCGCTGATGTCAGCCCGAGGCTCCGCCCTCCTGTCCATGTGCCTCCGGCGGCGCAGATCGGCCTGCCCGGCCCGGCCCGGCGTGGCCCGGCCCGGCACGCCCAGGAGGCACGGCTCGGCGTGTCGCAGCCCGGCACGGCAGCGGGGGATGCGGAGCGCACGCTCTCCGGCCCCGTCCCAGCTGCGGGCCCCGCGCCGAGGTTAAGCACCGGGCACCGCAGCGGACGCGAGACCCGTTCGGGGCAGGAGTTCTTAATTCTCCGCGTATATGGGCGTTTCGGAGCCGGCGAGCGTTTCGTTTTAATGGAGGGTGCGGCTCGGTGCGGCCGTGGCCGTGCTATCAGGGGCTGTGCACCTGCTCGCGGGGCTGTGAGCGGGGAGCGGGGCAGATAAGCGGCCTTGCCCCGACGGCGCAGAGCTTCCTGCGGCAGCGCGGTGCCACGCTGCCGGGAGACAGGGGGCCAATAACGCGGTCAGAGCCGCGGGGATTTACCACTGACCCCTCTGGAACCTCATCTGCCCCTTCCCCTGGAGGCTCTTTCCAAAAGCATCTTTGGGAATGGCTTTATCCGCCGCTCTGATGCTTTTCAAACTGATCTCGGGATGGTGGCACAGGTGATGATGTGAGCTGTTGGACTCTCCAGCAGCTGATAAAGGTGCCCAGCTGCCCCGTGCATGTCTTGGTGATGTGACTGCCATGCCACAGCCAGAGTTCTGTGTGGATTCAAGAGAAGAAATCATTGAACTCTGCTGGACTTTCAGGATTTTGTTACCTGTCCTGCATCATAACTGGAACAGGTTGTCCAAGGAGGTTGCGGATGCCCCATCCCTGGAGGCATTAAAGGCCAGGCTGGATGTGGCTCTGGGCAGCCTGGTCTGGTGGTTGGTGACCCTGCACATAGCGGGGGGGGGGGGGGGGGTGGAACTAAATGATCATTGTGGTCCTTTTCAACCCAGGCCATTCTATGATTCTGTGATCATGTAAAGGACACATTTGTCTTTCTCCTGCCCTTTTAGTTTATTTATAGAGCTCTCAGTCAATGCCATTCTCTCCCTCAGTTGCTGAAATACCTTTTAGCCGGTTCTTTTCTACTCTCAGGGCTCCTGCAGCCTCCGTGAGCTGCTGCAGTGAGTTCCCATCTCTGCCTTTAGCAGCACCTGCTCCTCTGACATCCCTTTAACACAAAGTGCTGAGATCTGCTGACTTCTGTGACTTCGCTCCCTTTTCATAAAACAGTAAACTTTTCTTCTTTTTTTTTTTTTCTTTCTTCCTTTATGTCCCCCAAGTGTCGTCCACTTTTCTACCTTCAAATCCATGTGCAGGAGGTAATGCACACTTCATCCTCCCCTCCACTGCTCCCTGCCTCCTGGACCAGGGGCACGTGCATTGATGAGCACATTGCTCAGGGACACACTCTTCATTTTGCTCTAGGTGTCCTTTTTGCTCTGAGTGAACCACCCAGAGGTGCAGCGTTACTTAGTGCACCCAAGTGGTACCTGGGAGGGATGCCTGGACTAGAAGAGCCAAACAAGATAACCCACATCTTGTTGGGCACTTGTAGGTGCCCCTTAATTCATCTCTGGCACCACTTTGTAGCTTAAGGAGTGCTGCCACCATCCCTACCCTGCTCCGTTTTGAGTCGCCCTCCATCCTCAGCCAGGGGCTGCTGGCACCTCTTGAAGAGGTCAGTGGAAGAAGGCAGTTAATGAACACAGCGCTGCCAGAGAATGGACTCCTGCCACTAATCGGCTCTGCTCCGGCTATTGCTATGGCAGCTGCGTGGCTTTTTGGAGAAAAATGTATTAACTCAATCAGCCCTTCGTGGGGGACCCGGTGCAATGCTCAGCTCGGAGCTGCCTGTCTGCAGGCGCCATCTAGTAGGGAAAGTAGAAAACACAGAGACTGAAACGGGGAAGTTGAAAGGAGCTTTACATTCAGGAGCATCATTTCCAGGCAGCTCCTCGCCTACAGTGTTGGGGTTGGTTCATTTTCTCTATGGGTGAATTGCAATACATGACTTGGTCCACAGTGTTCAAACAAGCTCTCTTTATGGCAGGATCCCCATGCCCAGGACAGCACATTGCTGCTCCTTGCCTAGAGCAGAGCCTTGATTCATCTCCGCTTTCATAGATAAAAGCCTGAATTAATTAAAGAAAAGAATAGAAATCACTTTGATTTCCAGAACACCAGAACCTCCTAATTATCAGCACTTCCACTAGTGCCGCAGTAATGAACGGGCTGTTCTTCCCATGCAGACCTGGTTTTTGCAGAGATTTACACAACGTATCCAAATTTCCTGCTCCCTGTGCAGTGTGGTGGCTCAGAGTATGGGTCTGACTGTGGATGCATTCCTGTGAACCACCAAAGTGATGTCTGATTCCTTCCCCCATGGATTTCTTATTGGAAATCTGGGATCCCTGATGGCAGCAAACTATGGACAGCATCTGCTCTCCTATCAAACTCTGCTTATTCAAAATAATAAAACTGGGGTCTTTGTTTCTTTGCCTTCTGGTCTTTCGGTCTTTGAAATGCACATGGGAGTTGCTTCTAGCTTTTTGTCATAGTCAGAATTTCCCTGAGCACGCGAGGGTAGGATCCGGCTGTGGGGCTCCCTGGGGGCTGTAGGTGGTGTATGGTTGCAGGAGGTGTGGAGCTGATGTGGGATGGTGGCTGTGCTCCTGTGCTGTCTGTCACGGAGCACCCCAAAGAAAAGGGTTTCTTAAGAACAAGTAGATATGGTCCAGAGCTGTCCTGCAGCTCTACTGCAGGTGCTGTGACGCATTCAGCGTGCAGTGCTTTATATATTGGACACCTGACGTCAGGAGCATCATCTTGCCTGAAGTCCATCAGTACTGGTAACCAATGGTTCAAATAATGCTTCACATAAGACACTTCCATTTATCATCTAGGAAGGCAAAGAGCAACATCTTTCCATAGAGGCAGCCAGCTCATATCTTATCCCTTATATACCCTTGTCCAACAAACCACATCTGGGGACTTGCCTGGGACTCCTCAAGAAGCAGTGGGACACCTCTTCTCCTTTGGTGTTGGTGCCACATTGGGTCAGACGAGCTTGTCTGGTGGAAAAGGTGTTCCACCTCCAAACACCTCCAGTGTAGCAGCCATTGCATACGTGTGGATGGCATGGGTGAGATGTGCTGTTGCTCTGGCATCAGGGAGAGGAAGTGCTGTTGTTCAGCAGCACATCACCAGGACAAAAGAAAACTGAAAGAAAAAAGGGAAGTGAAAGGAACAAATGCAGAATTTGTATTAGCAATGCAGGGAAGCATAGGAAGTTAAGAAGATCACAGACAATTGAATTTAATTGAAAAAGAAGATTAAATAAAGTGAGACTCGAATATGAAGAGCTAATTTGGATTAAAGAAACAAGCTGATTGCCTGGAGAAAGAAATTGGAGGATGAAAATCATATTATTTTGTATCTGGGTTCCAGTTCTGTTTATATCAGGACAGTAAAAAAAAAAAAAAAAAAAAAAAGTAACAACAACTCAAAGTGATTTCCCATTGAAATGATAACCTTTTTGGAAGAGGGTCACAAACCACTGGGAAATGGGGTGCTGATACAATCTGATAAGCTTAGGAGAGATTTAGCCCATGTACAGGAAAATGGGAGAGCTTCAAAGAGTGTTTTTGTGTTCCCAGCATCATTGCTGCTGACAGAAGGACATTAATTTGTCCAAAAAGCGTCAGAATTGGGTGTTCTGGTGCACCCAGCACCAGGCTGGGGCTGGGGTCTCCATGCTGTGCATGGCGCAGGTGATGCTGGCAGCTTGTGCATCAGCTACTGAAAGCACAGGTGATAAGGGAGTAGTTTTAGGGAAAATTATTCTATTACTCTATTATTCTTATTCATAGCACAAATGGAAATATATGTATTAAAGCATGTATAAAGCATAAAGCACAAATATGAAATGTAAGGGCTTATCTTAAAGTGCTTCCCTTCTCCAAGTTTCCTAATTTCCACTTGGCAGCTTCACCCTTTTCTACAGCACATCCACTGACCAGTGTCCTCCTCCCAATGACTCAGGCTGTGTCTGTTGCTGGCCATGAGGCCATGGGCATGTTCCCATCTACCCATCCTCATCCCTGTCCCCATCCCAGTCCTCATTCTTATCCCCATACCTGCCCCCATCCCCATCTCCAGCCCCATCCCCATCCCCGTCCCTGTGCCTGTCTCCATCTCCATCCCTGTCCCCATCCCCATCTCTGTGCCCCTTAGGAGGCAGGACAGTGTCCCGTGGTGTTCAGGGGAAAGACTTTGGAAGCACTTGAGCTGGGGCTGGGGAGGACAGGCCCTATGCCCTTAGAACCATGATCTGCTCCAATATTGTGAGTGGTTTGCAGAGCAAAATCCAGCTGTGATTTCATTAAGGAGGCTCTCGCTCCTTGTGCTCAATATTTAATTTAACAGGAGTGTGTGTGTTGGGTTCAGGGTGTTGATTAACCATGACTCTGAGATAGAAGGAAATTACTAATATGGGAAAGTGCAGTCAGTATTTCATGGCGAAGAGTAATTGAGCTAACAGTTGACATATGGAGTTGTGTGGGCAAACTAATTAAATTTTACATCTTCCCGAGCATTTGTGAGTTTTATAAGCATTTGATTTATATATTAATTAAACCTTGGAGTGAAATAAAGAGGACATGACTATTTATACCGCAAATGCGTCCATCAAGGGAAAGTGCTTTGAGGTATTTACAGGCAGACAGCAAAACTCCTCGGTGAGTCTCTGGCTGTAGCCAGTGGAAGCAAAGGAGCCAACACAGAATATCCCAGCTGTGTCTCAGTTGTGTGCCAGCTGTGTGCCAGCCATGTCTCCATCATGTCCCACCATATCCCAGCCACGTACCAACCGTCCCTGCCACATCCCAGCTGCCCCTCAGGGATGGTCCAGTGGTGCTGAGCATCCCTCACCATGCCAGGTAGTGTGGCTTTGGGCATCACAAACCCTGACAGGGAGGTGTTAAATCCCAGCTGGACTTGAATTGTAGAATCACTAAGGTTG